AGAGAAGGAAAGCATTTACAAAACGTCCATTTAAAAAGAATGGACTTGGGTGTGCCTTTGGTAGATTGATAGTGTTGCTAGTATGCAAGTGAAACGTGGAAGAAACTGGGAACCTGACAAGTGAGAAAGGAGAGGTCCCAAGATACCCAAGGGAGATCTGGTCTGAAGCAGAAAGGGACTTTGTTCTTTCAGATAGTGTAGTTTTTTTGTTTTTTTTAATTGTTCTAATTAGCTATATATGACAGTAGGGAGCATTTTGACATATTGAACACAAATGGAGGATAAGTTCTCATTCCTTTGGCTGTATATGGTGCTGAGTCACACCAGTAATCATACATTTATATAGGGTAATAATGTCAGTGTAGTTTCAAGACATTGTGTGTGTGTGTGTGTGTGTGTGTATGCATGTATGTATATATAAAATCTCAATCTCTGATGATAGGAACTGTGAACTGTGTCATCTATCTTTACAGCTCCAGGGCGCGGGATATAACTGACAAATCAAAATATCTGCTCTACTGAATTGAGCAAAAATCTCGGGGAGTGGGGGATGATAGGAAAAATGAGACCGAAAAAACATATAGCCTCTGTTACTTGATATCTGAAACATTTACAGGATTTACTGCAGGAATACTACAAAGGGAAATGGACTTCAGATGAAAGAGTTTTTCGGACGAGACCTCAACAAACTAGAATTCGGAACAAGCCCCAGGAAGCCGCTGTGTTGTCTTAGGGGAGAGATGAAAATGAAAACTCATCAGGCAACAGGTTTGAGCCCCTCGGGTAAAGAAGGCAAGCGCGACCGCGACACGGAGTTGGCGAGTGGAAGGTTGTGTAGTACCGAGAAACTCGGAAGTCTGAGCTAACGAGAGGACTGAGTGCGGCCGGTTGGAGAACCAACGTCCTGCAGTTGGACAGTATAGCTTGCTTTGAGCTTTTTTTTAAAAAAAAAAAAAAAAAAAAACGATCAGGAAGCTCTAAAAGATGTGCAACTCGGGCTGATATTTTAGCGTGATAACTTCCGTGTGTGTGAGAGTGTGTACAACAGGGAGCGCCGACGGTGAACTTCCGCAGCTTCTGCCCGCGGGCGCGGGGTACAGCTCCGCCTAGCCCAGAGGTAGAGGAAACCCGCGCTGGGCGCTTCGAAGGCCCCTCGGAGGAGATGGGGCGGAGCAGAACCGCGGCCACGCCCGGTTCTGCAGGCCGCCCGCGCCGCGCCCCGCCCCGCGACTACATTTCCCAGCAGGCCCTGGGCTGCCGCGCGCCGCAGTTGACCCACTTCCCGGCCCGTCACGGGCTCGGCCGGCCCCCGCGCCCAAGCGGCTGCTCCCTGCTGACTGGGGTGTGGGCGGGGAGCGGCGGAGGGAGGAGGAGGCGCTGCTGGCTGCCGCCGTTGCCTCAGCTGCTGGGCGCCTGGGCAGCTCTCTGGGTTTCTGCTGCCGCCATGGACGAGCAGGCGGGTCCCGGCGTCTTCTTCAGCAACAATCACCCGGGCGCCGGCGGTGCTAAGGGGCTCGGGCCTCTGGCGGAGGCTGCCGCAGCCGGCGACGGGGCGGCTGCGGCGGGGGCGGCCCGAGCCCAGTACAGCCTACCGGGGATCCTGCACTTCCTGCAGCACGAATGGGCCCGTTTCGAGGTGGAGAGAGCACAGTGGGAGGTGGAGCGGGCGGAGCTGCAGGTAAAGACCCTCCCGGCCAGGCCCTCTTCATCCCGCCTCTTCGCTCCCTTCCGCCCCGCCCCGGACCCTTCTCCCCCTCCCCCAGTCCTCTCGCGTCCCCTCCCCCTTTGCTCGCGCCCATCCCACCCAGAACCTCATCCCCTTCTTCCCTTCACCTTTGGCTTTCGCTGACCCCACTTTTTCCACCCGGGTTCTCACTCCAGCTCTTGATGCGTTGTTTACCCTCCCCGCGCCTTTTCCTCTGCTGCTTCCCACTCTTAACTCCCAGTCTCATTTCAACTCTCTTGCCATGCTACATCTTAGGGCGTCCCTTTTACTTTACTAATTGGGCTGACAGTAGTTTTGAGAGACACTGAGCAAAACATGCTGTCCTGCCGTGTCCCATCCTAGGTCTGGAGACGTTATCTGCAAAAGGTATTGGTAGTTGACTTCTCTTTCTGCAAGGAAAGTGATCAAAGAAGACAGCCCAAGTTGTGTCAGTGGGGCCTTGGCTTTCAGTGAGAGACTGATGTTGGGCAATAGTGTTAGAAATATCAACTCCCTTTTTATGTATGTGAATGTCTTTTTTTCTGGCCTTTTCTTCTTTTTCACCGCTCCTGCGTTTCGTTTAGTTTCATGGATTTTGAATGAAGGACCTAGGTAATTGTGGTCCAATCATGGTTTGGAGATGGTTCCGGTTCTCAGAATCTAAAACTTGCCAAGAGTTAATTTTATGTTCCATGTTTTGTGAGCTTAACATGTATTTTTAAAGGGGCTAAAGAGGCTTCAGTATTAATTACTTGCCTTACATGATCTGCCAGATGAAATATATCCAGAGGTGAGCTATTGTGGGCCCTGAGAAAAATGAAAGTGAGTTGATACTTTACAGGCCATTCTGAGTTGGTGAGTTGGTTTTCAGTGCTGGTTCTTAAAAGTTATAAAGCACACACTTAATTTCAGGAGGAACTTAAAGAACTGTTATTGGTTGTGCCTGTTTTAGGGGCTAATCCTGTATGCTTAGGAAATTTGAGTACAGTTTTGGTTTGAAAAGTACTTGAAGTTAAAATGCTATCCAGTTTACCCCCCCTCCCCTCTTTTGTAACATGTATTTTCTTTGGCAGAGAGAGAGGGCAAAATCTGTTAAGTAGAATCATATGCTAAAACAGACTGCTTTCGTGGAGTAGAAGTGGTTCTGGAAAGACCAACAAGGCAAGATTATAGTAGACAGGGTTATCAATAAGGACCATGCTTGCTGCTAGCTCTGTGACCTTGAGGAAATCCTTTAACCTCTCTGGGCTTCACTTTCATCATTTACATTCATGACATGTTTACTGAATGCCCACCATGTGTGTCTAGGTTCTGGGATTAACAAAACTGACAGAGCTTCTGCCCTCGTGGAGTTTATGTTTTAGTCTGAAGGCAAATAATCAGCAAGTGCAGCTGTGTAGAATAATGGTTTACAGTGGTAACAGCTGTGGGGAAAAACAAGTCAGGGTACAGGAATAAAGTGTGATGGGGCAGCTGTTTTAGATGGGATCATTAGGGAAGGTCTCTATGGAGATGATGGATGAACAGGTTGAATGAATGTGAAAGTGGTCCATGGTGTCTGTGATTTCTTCTAAGTCTGTATTTCTACAGTTGTATGTTTATATTCTTTGGTGACTTTCATTTCTACTGTTATGGTGCTATAATATAGTCCATTTGAAATTTGTAAGTTTTCTCAGAATGAGTCTGATCATGTCTATATAGTACCCAACAAGTTTGAATGCTTATACATTTTTACCTTTATTAGTAATGCATTGTGTAAATGAGCTTGTGGATTTCAGGCTTCAAGAAAGAGTTAAAGGCAAGGGTTAACTTTAATGTGTGCATTTGCAGGATATGATTTTTTATATAGCTGCTTATATTTTAATTTCTGGTTTAGGAATTGTAAAATAAGTCATGCTAATTTGGTCAAAGCCAAACAAGAACTCAATACTATAAGTAGGAGTTTGGGAATTTCTAATCCATCCTGTCCTGTTCACCCTCTCCCTTATGTTTAAACTTTTTGATTTTTCAGTGTTGTCAATCTTTACTTTTTAACACAGACACACACACGCACAGTTTAAACTTCAGGTAGGTTTCTCATTCATGCTCATCATGTTAAGAACAATACATTTTTACAGTGTCTTGATTTGTGCTAAAATTAAGTTCCCATAGAGAAACTTAAAAACTCTGTCATATTTTCTGAACCTAGGTATTAAAGGGGAAGAGGGTTTGCAATAATCTGTGATCTTTGTCTCCCTTATTAGTGAAATTGGAAATTAAAAAAACATTTTTTTTTGCATCAGATCATCATTAAATTCAAATATTTCCCTTCATTTTTCTTCTTCACCATTAGAAATATTCCTAGTAAAACAATAGGAAATACAATAGTTAAATGAATTTTGATGAAATATGGATCATTTTTAATTTTTAAATTTCTTCTCATGTTATTAACACCAACAAAGATTTAAGATTCTGTCTAATTTGTCCCTTCAGGAACCTGTCAATTCTGCTCTTTCAAGTTGCCAAGGCAGAGTTTTCAAAGGCAATCCAAGGTCCCAACTACCTGGCCTGCCTCTGCCACCTTCAGATTTTGAGAGTAAGGAAACAGCTATATTGTACTGAAAACTTTTGTCATTTATTTTCCCAGGCACATTTTAATAGACTGTCTATTAACTTTTGGCAATGCTCTCCCACTCTAATAGGCTATTCATGGGAGAAAAAAAGAATAATCAAGGTATTACTGAGCTTTACATGTGTGAAAGGAATTGGAGAAGGAATACTAATAAGATTTGAGAATATTTTCTGTATGTGAGACATCGTGCTAGAAACCCCAAAGAAACATGCAGTCTAGTTAGTATAATAGAAAATAAACAATATGTAGAAGAATCAGAGTTTCTAATTTGCTAGGAAGGTTAATTTTCTTAGAATAGCATAAGAGGGAAGAATTGAAAGTGAAGGAAAGGAGAGCTGGAGGAAAATGCTTTGAGTTAAAGAGAACCCAAAGGTCAGTATTTGAAAATTTCTAACTATTAGGAAAGCAAATATATGAATCACAAAAATTAGTGGCCCTAGCTGGGAGCAGTGGCACAGTGCTCACAACCCCAGCAGCTTGGGAGGTTGAGGCAGGAGGATCACAGGTTCAAAACCAGCCTCAGCAACTTGGATCCTGTCTCAAAATAAAATGTAAAAAAGAGTCTGGGGATGTGGCCCAGTGGTTAGGTGCCCCTGGGTTTAATTCCTGGTCCTTCCCATAACCCATGCCCTAGATTTTTGGGGATTACTAGGGTTTGAACCCAGAGGTGATTTACCACTGAGCTGCATCCTCAGCATCCCTCCTTTTTTTGTTGTTGTTAATTTTTAAATTGAAACAGGGTTTCTTTAAATTGCTGAGGCTGACCTCAAACTTGTGATTCTCCTGCCTCAGCCTCCCAAGTCACTGGAATTACAGGTGTGCACCACTCACTGTTCCTGGCTTCGCCCTAGATTTTGATGATTATGTGTGGTAGAATTGGAAGAGGCTTGGATATTTACCAGAAAGTGCTAGAATTGTGTGTAGTTGGTGATAAGATTGTGTAGGGCATGTGGTGTGGAGGTTGTATGCTGGAGTATTCATGAATCTGGGTTTTGTCAGTAATAATTTATATTTTCATTCAGCAGATATTTCTTAAGTACCTACCTCATGCTGTATCCCATTTGAGGTACCAGAAAAGATACAACAATGAAGAGAGAATGAAGAGATCTTGCTCTAATCAAGTTTCAATCGGGAGCAGACAGTGATAAATACATACATAACATATTGGAAGGTGATAAATGCCCTGATGAGATAAGGAGGATGTGTAATACTTGAGAGGGGAAGAAAGTTTTTACTGATAAGATGCCATTTGAGTTAAAACCTGAAAAAGTAATAACCTGAAGTGAAGCTGTGTAGGCAGGGGAAGCAGCCAGGAGAAGGGGGAATGCTTGAAATGTTTGGGGAATAACAAAGAGGCAGATGTGGCTAGAGTAGAGAAAGTAGATGGAAGAAATAATGTCATAGAAGTACTGAGTCTTGCCTATTATACCTCAGCAAGATGGGCAGCCATTGTAATGTTCTAATCAGAGAGCAGAGGTAATGCTGTCTTTAAAAAGATCCCTTTGCCAAAATGAGAATAGATGTGGAAGGGTAGAAGAAGCAGGAAGACTAGTTAGGAGGCTGAGTTAATTCAGGCTAGAAATGAATGAGGGTGGCAGGGATATATGAATGTATTTTTTGTTATGTCATCAAAGTATAATGGATTCTGAACAGCTTTGAAGATACAACCAGCAAGATGTACTAGGCGTTGGATGTAAAGTTTGAGAAAAGGGGGAGTCAAAAATGATTGAAACATCTTTTGATGAAGTGGCTTCATAAAACTGTGGAGAAGACTTTCTAAGCATTTAAGTGGAAAAAGTAAGCACTTAAAATGACGTTTATTTTTATTATTATGATAATATATAAAATATTGTGAAAGGCACAGTGGTATAGACCTTTGTTTAATTCCATGCTCTACAATTTACTGTTGTATATCATGCCTTTAATACATATTTGCCAAAATGACCTTTCAGAGCCTTGATTTCTTGTGTGTAAAGTGAGGATAATTAATTGCCTTGTGAGACTTAAATGAGTTATTTTAAAGTATCTGGTACAGGTGTGCTACATAACACAAAATAAGTGCTGAATAAATAAATAGTAGCAAATGCACTGTGTTAAGTTTTACTCTATTTCTTTATCCCCAGAGAAAAGTATAATCTTCAGTCATTAATTCTTTCAAAGCTAGAGCATGTATGTGCCGTCCTGGGTCCATGCAGTCTAGTATTCTGGTTCTGACCCTTGCACTAATGATGATCTTGAGTATCTGCTTCAAAATAGTTATATACTTTGAAAGTACTTGCTCTCTTTAATAACCCCCAGGCATCTGCTATCTTGGAATTCATATGAGCTCTTCTGAATATAATTATCTAAAGTTTGCATTATACCTTGGATAACATTGTACACATTTACTGACCACTCTATGCAACTAATCCTCAATTTCAATTGGTCCTTTAACTTACTTCCTTTATTTTTGAAACAGGTGAACCCCATGGTGGTATGGTATAATTTTGGAGCAGGTTCATTTTTCATTCTATTCATAGCCTTGATAATTTCACAATCTTTAATTATGAGGTTTTACTCTTTTAAAACATATCTTGTTATTTGTTATTTAAGTTTTAACATTTCTCAAACCTAGCTGAAGTCTTAGAATAATGTGTGGAACTTTTAAAGTTACCTATTCCCTGGGCTCCACCCCAGACCAATCAATAATATTTATCAGATTCTTTGGAAATATGGTCCCTGGCATTACTGGGTTTTGTTGTTGTTGTTTGTTTGTTTGTTTTTTAAAGCTCCCTTATAGTTGTAATATGAAAGGATTAAGAACAAGTGCTTTAGTTATTGTTTTTTCTGTTTTTACATATACAAAACACACAGTATATATTAAAAAAATTTGGCAGTTTCAACACTTGTGTTGGTATTCCATATATGGATAGCTTTATAGAATTTGGGATATGAATTCTTTTTTTATTTCCATTGTTCTTTCTGATGATAGCTAGCATTTTATTTTTAGGCAGTAGAATATTATAATTTGAATCACCTCCCACTGACTGAAGTATATAATGACAGCATAATCTTTGAGCTGGAACTAACTTTGAAAATAACCCCTACTTTAGGTATAGGTAAAGTGAGGCCAGAGAGAGAGATTAAATGATCAAGAATGAAATAGTTTTGTATAAGCTCTGTCACTTAAGTTTCCAGATGTCTTTTTTTCTTTTTGGTATTGGGGATTGAACCTACGGGCGCTTAACCACTGAGCCACATCCCTAGCCCCGCCACCCCCTTTTTAATGTTTTATTTAGAAATAGGGCCTCACTGAGTTGCTTATGACTTTGCTAAGTTGCTGAGGCTGGTTTTGACTCCAGATCCTCCTGCTTCAGCCTCCCGAGCTGTTGAAATTACAGGTGTGTACCATCATGCCCAGATCCAGCTACTCTTTTAAAAAGTCTTTTCAGATTCTACTTCTTGTTTTTTTTTTTTTTTTTTTTTAAGAATTTCTTCTTTAGTTGTAGATGGACACAACCTTTATTTTGTTTATTTATTTTTTTATGTGGTGCTGAGGATTGAACCCAGTGCCTCATGCATGCTAGGTGAGTGCTCTACCATTGAGCCACAACCCCAGTCCCACTATCTTTCTTCTTATTGTTGATTTTATTTTATTTATTTTTTTGGTTCTGGGGTTCGAACTCAGGCCATTACACATGCTAAACACACCCCAGCCCTAATATCTCCTTCATTCCTAAAGCTTTCAGAAGTAATCAGAGCCACACTAGTGCTACTTTTTATTATTATTTTTATTTGTTCTCCTTAGTTGTATGTGACAGCAGAATGCATTTTACCTATTTTATTTAAAATATCAGACACAAATATTTTACTGTGTTTTGCCACTTTCTTATTTTACATATGAGATTTTCTTTGTCTTTAATGTTTTGTAGTTTTATTGATTTGTCAGAGCATGGATTCCTTTTTATTTCGTTTGGGACTTTATTAGGTTTCTTAAATCTTTAGGTTGGCATTTCCTTAATTTTGCCTAATTCTCGTAATTTCTTTAAATATGTCCCCGATTGCACTTTCTTCTCTTTTTGAAAAGGGCTTTAATTATATGTATATCATAGGTCCTCTTCTTTCTCTAGTCTATATTTTCCATCTTTTTATCTCTGAATTTCTTTCTTTTTTTTTTTTTCCTTTTGAGACTGGATCTCACTGAGTTGCTAATGATGGCCTCAAACTTGCAATCTTCTCTTTATTCTCCCAAGTAGCTGGGATTACTTGTGTGTGCCACCATGCATGTCATCTCTGTATTCTGGGTAATTTATTTTCATTTGTCTTCTAGTTCATTTTCTCATGTCTTAATTCTAATCCTTTTATCCAGTGAAGTTTTGGTTTTGTTGACATTCGCCTTGGTTCTTTTTTCAATCAAATCTGCTGGGTATTTTTTCTCCCCCTCCAAATAACATTCTGTTTGTAATAGATATTTTCAAAATGATCTTTTATTCTTTAAACTTAGTAGTTATTTTATAATTACTGTCTCTGTAGTTCTTACACTTGAGATATTAGAGGAGGCTTTGAATGGTCTCGTTTTCTAGTTCTTGCTCACGATGACTTAACTTATTCTTTTGTATTCCTGGTTTATTTTTGTGTTCTACTCACTGTCCTTCAGAAAGTATAAGACTAATATGAGCTCTGAGATAGAGGTGTCTTCTTCAGGAGGGTTTTGTTTTTGCTTCTTGTGGATGTCTGGAGGCATTATCAAAATTCAAAGCTACTTTAAAGTGAATTCATTGCTAAGATTTTTTTTGATCACCCAGCTGATATAAATTATGATTATAAATACATTTGAGTGTCACTACACTTATGCCATTTTTGCTTTGAGATTGCTCTTTAGTGTCTTAGCTTAGTGTGAAGTATGTTACCTCTTAGAGTCTTCTATTTTGGATTGTCTGGGTCTTTGATTTTTTTTTCCCTTGGGTCTTACATGGCTGTCCAAACTAAAGTTCAGGTTTCTTCTGATTGGCCAATACCCAAAAGGGGAAAAAATGGCTTTTATTCTATGTACTTAACTGGATTCCCATGTCTTGTCGAATTTTGACCATGTCATTCCTTGTTATCTTGTCAGCTTTGTGTTTCTTTTAAGAAGATTGTAAAAATATTTTGTACAGAATTTATAGCTGTTTTCAGTAGGAGAGTTGCTGTAGGGCACCATTACTGGAAACTGATTTTTTTGATGTTACTTTCCAAATCTAACAAATAAGAATGACTCTAGTAATTATCTTAGGAACAATACCACTGAGGGCAAGCAGTTCTTTTTTTTTTTTTTTTGGCACCCAGGGTGCTCTACCACTGAGCCAAACTCCCAGCCATTTTGAGACAGGGTCTCCCAAAGTTGCTTGGGGGCCTTGCTAAGTTGCTGAGGCTGGCCTTGAACTTTTGATCCTCCTGCCTCGGTCTCCCAAGCTTCTAGGATTTAGGTGTGTGCCACTGTGCTTCTATTTTAAGAGATGTGCAGATTTAGTTCTAAATTTTATTTCTAAGTCTACAATTCTTTGAATTCCAGTAGTAGGGGAAGCCTACATTTTTTTCTCCAAAATCTTGCCCATTTAGGCAGAATTTAAAATAAAATCCTTTATTATGAAGTTTTTGAGAGGTGTTCAAATGCCCAAATAATCTGGAAAGATTTCCCTTTGCCAGTCTGCTTGACAATCAGTGATTCTTTATGATTTATGAGTGTTGCTTATGGTATCCAGGTTTCAATTCTGGGCTAGAAATAAGATTGCCTGAGGGATCTTTGGAGTTTCTTGCCTGGGTAGCCAATTTAACAAAACAATCTATTGACCATCATTATTTGGCAGTAGAAAGTGTAGATGTTTGTGACAACTCTATCACTTCCAATTTACAGTTTTTCTAGGCCTCATTTTTACTGGTAAAATGCTGGTGATAATATATGTACCAAGAAGGGTAGTTTTAAGTTTTATAAAAAGTGAAAGTATTAAAATTTGAGGCATAGTAAGTGGTTTGATTTTGTTGATTGAGATTGAGATTTCTATGGACAGAGTGCATTAAGTTTTATTCTTTATTTAGATCATATTTTAGAAGCCAAGAACCAGGTTAAATGATCTATTTTGCTTAGTAGCTACTATATTCTCTTTGCCCTATTGAGCAGTGGTTGAAGGACAATAAACTGACTGTACTAAAGGATAGGCTAGAGATAGCAATAATAGATGATGATAATACGTAAGCATCAAGGACTGGAGGTTGTAATAGAGAAAAATTTGGAATTCAGAAAGAAACTGAGGTAAGAGAGAAATTGGAGAAGGAAATGGAATAGGGGAATAGGGGTGGGAGAAATTTGAGGCAGACAGGAGGAAGAAATCATATGTAAAAAAAAATTTTTTTTGATGGGGGTTACTGGAGATTGAACACTGAGCTATATCTCCAGACCTTTTTTATATTTAATTTTGAGATAGGGTCTCTTTAAGTCACCCTCACTGGACTCAAACTTGTGATCCTTCTGCTGCAGCCTCCTGAGTTGCTGGAATTACAGGCGTGTTCTCCTGTCCCACATCTCTTATCGATTGGAGGTTTTTCAGCTTGCTCTCAGGCTACTAGCTTAATTAAGTTTTGTGTATATATATATAAAGTCTAATATAATTTGTTTATTAACCATACATCAAATACTATGTAGTGCTTTGGTTATTAGGCTTTTCTTAGCCTTTTTTATATTCGATATGTTAGAACAGAATAATAAATGTGTCAACTGTGTGTTTGCTATAATGCAGAAAGTTATTTGAGGAAATAAGATCACTTTCTTCGGCAGACATAGT